CGGGGTCTCTGCCCGGAATCGGGGTCCGGCAGAGCTACGCAGCCTCGGGCCGCTCCTCCTTGTAGCTGGCTGACGTCTGCCCCCGATGCACGCGCTTTTCTGGGAAGGCCAGAGGGGCCCCAGCTGCGTCAGTCTGGGGTGTTCCGCCCTTGCCAGGCGCGAGTCTGGGGCTGCCGGAATCTTCCCCCAGGAGGCGTCGGGGAGGGCGGGGCTCTGGACACCCCTCCTGGCCTGGGGAGCGATTCCAGGGGAGGGGGCCGCCCACAGCCCTAGGCCTCTGAACCAGGAGTTGCCCCGCAGCCCCACTGCTCAGGCAGGGATACTGAGGTCCTGCTAGGGAAACTCTCTCTGGGGTCCCCGCCCCCGCTTTTCATGTGATGTTCATCGCCACCTAGGCTCATTGCATCCTCCCAAGTCATTTTACAGATGGGGAAACTGAGGCCGGGTCGCAGCTATGAGTGCAGGGGACCCAAGCACCTCAGCTTGAAAGCTGCAGCAGGACCCAGATGACCGATCCCCTTTCTGTTGTCTGTGGGTCTGGTGGGGCCTCTGAACACAGCTGTTGTTTATGTGTCAGCCTCAGTTTCTCTGTGTGTAAAGCGGGGCTGACAGGGGAGCCCCACGTACAAGGCAGTCAGGCACTCCTTAGAGGATGGCCAGCGCCCCCCACGCAGCCCTGCAGGGCATGTGGGCCGCACCTGGGCGGCCCCCGCACAGCGGCTTACAGGCACATCTGGAAATGCTTGGCCAGGATGGCTTTCATACAAGCGAGAACGGAAGGGGGCCTGAGTTCCCGTCCCCAGGGCCAGATGAGGTTGGGGGTGGGGGGTCCTGGGCCGTCTCATGCCCAGGCCAGGCACTTTTTGAAGTCTGTCCTTCTCCCAGAAGCCAGAGGGGGGTCTGGAGGGAGCCAGGGGTATGTGGCAATGAGTTCAGGACCACCCAGCCAGGCTGATCTGGGATTAATCACATCTCAGAGGCCAACAGAGTTCCTCAGCCTGGCCTTCGGGTCTGCACCCCTCAGCTCCAGCCTCCCCCTGGCTCCTCTGACTCACCCCACCCACCAGGACCTAACCTCAAGCCATGTTCTCTTCTGATCCCCTCTCCCATACCAGCTCCATCTGGCAAACTCCTAGACATCCCCTAACACCCCAGCTCTAATGCCCACCTCCTTCAAGTGCCCCAACAAAGGCATGGTGGCTCATGCCTGTAATCCCAGCACTTTGGGAGGCCAAGGCTGGCAGATCACTTGAGGTCAGGAGTTTGAGACCAGCCTGGCCAATGTGATGAAACCCCGTCTCTACCAAAAATATAAAACTTAGCCAGGCGTGGCAGCGCACACCTGTAGTCCCAGCCACTGGGGAGGCTGAGGAAAGAGAATCGCTTGAACCCAGGAGGCCGAGGTTGCAGTGAGCCAAGATTGCACCACTGCACTCCAGCCTGGGTGACAGAGCAATGCTCCGTCTTAAAAAAAAAAACAAAACAAAAAATTCATCCTCCAGTGCGGAGAGTATATCTTAACTCATTCATTCGTTCTCTGCCACCGAAGAGCCCCTAGTTTGATGGGGAAGGCATTGTCTCAGAAGAGGGTCCCGAGTGGCTGGGGGCGGTGGCTCACGCCTGTAATCCAGCACTTTGGGAGGCCGAGGCAGGCGGATCACCTGAGGTCGGGATCAAAAAATTAGCCGGGTGTGGTGGCGCACGCCTATAATCCCAGCTACTAGGGAGGCTGAGGCAGGAGAATCGCTTGAACCTGGAGGGTGGAGGTTGCGGTGAGCCAAGAGTGTGCCATTTCACTCCCGCCTAGGCAACAAGAATGAAACTCCATCTCAAAAACAAAAAAACGAAAAACAGGATCCCGAGGCAAATGCTTGTTAAACATGCAGCTGTAACCCCACCACAGACCCTGGAGTCTGCAGTGAAGGTCCCTGGTGTGGACATTTGGGGTCACAGGCCAGAATGGCAAACCCACCTTCCCAGGAGCTAGGTGTAAGCCAGACATTTATCGAAGAGCCACCCAGGCAGAGAGCTCAGCCCCAGCAAAGGCTCAGCCACGTGGGGAGTCCTCAGGGCCTCTTCCTGAGTCCTAAGCTGCAAGAGACTGAAGCCTGGGAACTGGGAGGTGCCCCCAGTCCCTCTCTGAGACCAGGATCCCCCCTGCAAGCCCTGTGACAGGCTCAGCCCCGCATGTTTTACCCTGGACCACTGTGACTGTTTTTGGCTGGTCCTGAGCTGAGATGCCTGCCCTGCTTCTGGCCTGGGGTCTCACCTTTGCAGGGAAGGCAGTGGACAAGGCCCAAGAAGCCAAGTAGGTTGATCTTGTTCCCCGGGTGAGTGAGGTTGGACCAGGCGGTGTCAATGCTGCCGGAGGCACAGCACTCGGCCCGGGTGACGTCAGTCCGGAGTACCAGGCTGCAGGTGGCCTCCTGGCCCTGCTGGAGCCAACAAACACCACCTGCGGGCCAGGGGACGGGGTGCTCTCCTGGGCCACTCCTGACACCCAGCTTCTATCCCGCCCAGAGATGCATGCAGGTGGTGCTCAGTAGTTACGCACGGGATGATCTACCCCAACCCGGGAAGAGGGGTAGAAAACCACATGGGGTCCCCACCCTGGCTCCGGGTCCCTGCAGATGCCTCCTCCCCTCTAGCTCTATGCCCCCCCCCAACACCCTCACCACCAACCCTCACCCATCCCAGGAGGTCCCCCCTCGTTCCCTCCGAGCCCCCAGGCCGGGGGCTGGCACCCTGCCCAACCCGTCAAACACCACCCAACGCCAGGCACTGGGCATGTCAGGGTCAGTGGGCCCTGGAACCGCTTCTCCCGCCTCTGCCCTCTGTCTAGACAGCACCCGAGGGCGAGGGCACGTGGAGCCCCGCGCCTGGCAGCCCCCCCACCGCCTGGCCCGCCTCTTACTCACTCCAACTTGGGAACATTCCCCTTGCATGAGCTCACTGTCTCCCCAGGGACGTGGCCTTCGGGGAGGGGTCTCTGCTCTCCCTTTGGCGCGGGGCTGGGGTGGGGTGGGGCTGCAGGGATGGGGGGTGGGGAGCCAGAGAGCCCCCAGTTTCTTCCCCTGTCCCTGGGGGCAGGAACGGCCACAGCCCCCTTCCCAGAGCACTCGCTGGTTCACAGACACTGCCAGGGACCAGCTTGGGGAATGCAGCACCTTGGCACCCATCATAGGGGAAACTGAGGCCAGGAGTGGGGCCGTCTCCTGCCTGGCTCCTCCCGGCAAGTCCCAGGTGTGAGTCTCCATGCCTGGTCTACCCAGGACCCGGGGAAGCTCTCAGCCCCAGCTGGAGGGCCTGGCTCCAGACACCCAGCGCTGCCTCTCAGGGCACCAGGACCGACCCAGACGGTCGCGGCTAGAACCCTGGCTTTGCTGCCTACAGTCTGTGTGACCCTGAGCCTCAGTTTCCCCATCTGGAAGACAGAGATGAAGAGAGCTCCGGCACTACTGGGATGGCACGGGTTCAGGGAGGGGAGAGGTAGACACTAAGCGCTCAATAAATGTCAGCGGTCATTGTGATTAGGAACCTCTACTCTGCTGACCTCCTGGTGACCCCCCTTCAGACCCTCCCGGCTCCAGCTTGCGCCGGACACCGCCCTCGCCCCCACCGCCGCC